AAGAACCGCAACCAAGCCAGTATCGAACCACGAGGGAAAGATAAACAAACACAAACTGGATGAAGATTACGGCACATTGTGTTTTTGTATGTTGTTTATGTTGGGAGCGCCACTTCAAGGTGTTTGCATAAGCAGAACGTCTCTGCCTTATAATGTGCGCTATATCGGCAGCTGGTCAACACTTTTGCACCGTAAGGCACTTGCTGCTACATCGCATATTCATCTCTGAAAGCAGATCTGCCTTTACCATTTTGCTGCATGTTGAATGCTATCCTCCTGGTCAACCTCTGCCGTTCTTCGGCTATCGAACGAGAATCTCATGGGCTGAAGTAAATGCTATATGCTGAGCCAATTTGTCTAATAGGGCTGTCTCCTTTTCTTAATTATCACATCTGCCGACGTCATCTGCGACCGGAAGAGAATAGAATCATTCCCTACTTGGTACTGCCATTTAATCCTCAGCATGCCTTGAAACCAACGCTGCTGTGCGCATTCCGACCACTGTTCTTGCTCATTCTTTAAATCAGCTCTTTTCATGTCGTACAACAATGCTGACCTGACAAAGGCATCGTACAGGCGAATTTTCGTGGGGAAAGCGACTCCTTTCTCATCCCAAATATTGGATAGGTTTCCAAACGCACTCAGCGCTAGGACTGTCTTCCTACTTAATTCTTTCTGGATAGTGCCATCGCTTGAGGTGATAAAGCTGTGATAATTAAACCTGTCAAACTCCTGAAGCACTTTACCTCTCTGTTCTACTTGTGGATCAGCTGTTTCGGATAGGTAACTGCACTTTTGACTTCTGGGCGTTAAGGAAAAGGCTGGCTTTCGCACTTGTGTTGCGTATGGAAGCCATTAGGTAATAGAGCTCTCTCAACTACACAGTAGAACGATATTTTTATGCTGTACTCCTAATACTCTTCTGTACTCCTGGTAAATAAGATAGATAGTCGCATATTTAGAACCGCTTTTTCCCTTTAGAATAAGACCTTCGTTTTTGTCAGGGTCGGCATCGGCACTGTTAGAGAGAATAAAGTCGAGAACAACGTTAAATTGCAAAGACGAAAGCTTGTCGAAAACGACAACTCCACGGTTAATCGAGAACCATTCAAATATCTCTCATTCAGCTTTGACAACAGACATGGTTCCTGCATACATCTCTTCAAAAGTAGAAATGATGTGCCCAGGTATCCAATGAGATTTTAAGATGTTGAACATCGTCAGACGATTTAGTGAACCAAATAAAGAAACTGGCATATCAAGGCAGCTGGAATCGTCGATGCTGATCATTGATTTTAGTAGAGTGGTAATTTGGACATGGTAGGAGTACCCCCTCTGGAAGCCTGTTTGAAGTCTCAGGCAAAGTCTCCCATAAATTGCTTGCATCAGCTTTTTAAAAATTATCCAGCAGGAAAGCTTTTACGAATTTGGCAGTAGTGTGATATTTCGATGATTGGGACATCTAGTCACTGGAGTCTCTTGAATTATATTGGCAGTTACTTCATGCTTCCTTTATTTAGACTTGATTAATTTGGTACTCTGTCCTTGACCTTAATACCCCAAATGAAATGACAGCAACAACTTCCATACTTCAAGGAAACATTTCTAGCTCGACATTTAATGAAAATAGTCACATTGAGAAAATGCATATTTTGTGTCAGTAGGACTTCTTGGAACTCTCGCTGAGGTTGGCATTTCGGATTTTTGATTCTGTTCGGTGTTGACAAAAACATTCACCTATTGAGATCTAGTTAATGAGATTTATGACTGACATCGCGAAAATTTATAATGCAACAGCTGATCGGTATGTTTCTTCAGCATGTTCTGGTTCATGTGAGTGAGTGATTTGTATCAGTGATCGCTTTTGAAGTCACAAATCGCATGCTGCACGTATAAAATGATGGAAAAATCCTGATACATTATGTAGTATGTTATATAATATAACTAAAATGGAAAGAAAAATTTTTATTGTTGGGATTTTCGATGTGTCGTGTGCTTCCATGAAATGTGACATTTTTCATGTAAGGTAAAATCCCACATAACTTTCGACGACTTCCTAATTCGCCAGTGTTACAGAGTACAAAATTTCGTCTAATTTAGCAGAATTACCTTAAATTACTTACCTATGGTGCGATGGTACCATAGAACCTCGGTTTTTACCATGTAGGTAGCATCATCAGAGGCGAGGCTGAAAAGGGAACAAGAGAAGTAGAACAGAAAGAAATTTCGGTGTGAGCTTTTGCTGCTACTTTATCGAGTACTTCCAAAATTGAGCATTTCGTCGTGCATTGCTGGTCGTACTGAAAACAGTATAAAACACGGTTTACTATACACAACGCTAACAATATGGTTAATCTGATGATACTTTTCAGTCAGCATCTTTCTACATCGAAGAAGGCTTCTGAGACACGGGCCAAAACCTCCGGCGGTAGGTTAACCATATTGTTTCCGCTGTATATAAACAAACCGTATTTAATGCTGTTTTAGGGAGTTCTAAACTCATCTATTAGGGTGATTTTCTGTTCTTAAAAACCCAGCTTCAGCCACGCACAATACATTTCATTTTTTGTTGTCATCAGGTTTCTCTCTTTTATTAAGTTGAGCTTTACGTTTTGCTCATTATGACTGTCAGGTATAAAATTAAATTTTAGTTGGCGGTTCGCGTACTACTTTGTAATTTTCTTCTACGGATTGGCTGTTCTCTGGAATGTAAGTATTACTGATTTCTTTGATGGAGCTCATTTTGACCAGGTGTTATAGAAGCCTTGGTTTGAAAACACTGCCGCCTGCTGGTATGGCTATCCTTATCACGTAAGTTGAGGTACTTTTCCAGGTTCTGTGATCTGCAGCACCAAACTACTTTCAGCTAGAATCTTTACGCGTCCCTGTTTAACCACAACCAAATTTGCGTACATAAGAAAAATCGAGATAATTTCTTAAGTTTGGATGTTTCATGGAAAATCTCTTACTTCTAGTTTATTCAGTTTAGATGGCGACAACAGGAATTTATAATTTTTACGCTCTATTGGCCAAGCAGAATAATTTCGTGCCGTATCTTCATTGCCAGCCATGCATGTTGAAAACATAATGAACTGTCATTTCCTTTCCAAGCTGATCGTAGAATGACGGCGCATCTCTAAAATGGACGGATTTCTGGATTGTGCTCTGTAAATTATATTAGAAGACAATACCTATATTTCATTAGATGGTCATGATCTAAGAAATTCCAAGTAAATTTATAGGAAGCGCTTGCACATTGATATCAATATCATCCCTCCAGACATAGGAGATTTCCCATCTGCCACTGTTCATAAAGTAGATGTTACTTTTTACATCATCTGAACTCTCAACTACTGTTTTCGGTTCTGGGAATACTCGTTGCTGCTCCTGAAACGAGCAGACTATAATATTGCTTACGTGTGTAGGCCTGACGGTTGTACGCAATCTCGGAAGGCAACAAAATTTTAACTATTACTAACCTCACATTGCGTGAGACATGAATCAGCCAGACTCTCGCTTTCCCATTCCAATTCGATCG